AACAAATCACCTTATATGAAATTGCATTTTGAATATGCCTGGAGATTTCAGCTGATAAATACGGCATAAATAGAAGGAGTTGGAGATTTGTAAAGGAAAGGTTAAGAAATAGTCCACTTCAAAAAGTAAAATTCACTCTCAAGTTGCTCCAAACCCGTAACCACCGAACAACATACAGTAGTGGTGAAGTGGTGGAGTAAAAATGATTAAATGATTCATTCATAAAGATGGTCACTTGTCTCACACACTCATTCCTGAATAAATGTTTGAGCTAATCGGCTGAATGAATGATTCAATGACTCACATAAAAACAGTCATTTGTTTTGTTTTCTGAATGAATCAGAGTTTTGAGCAAATCGTTTCGCTCATAAAGACAATCATTTGTCGCCACCTACTGGTGCATCGATGTAACCTACAGCATGGAATGAGTAGCTGAGAAAATAAGAGCCATACAGTTTTGAAACAACATTAGGGTGAGCAAATGATGACAAAAATATCTTTATTTTTGAGTGAACTACTGTTTGAAAAGAGATTTGTGAAGCTGTTTATGGAAATGACTCTTTCGCTGCATGAGCTGTTTGTGATTCAAATCTTATTTAGAGGTTTGTTGCACACAATTACAGAAGGGCATTATGTAGTTTTGTCATTTATTGCAAAGATGTACCACACTTTGGCATTTTAGAGCCACATGATGAGTTACCTGTAGAAGATGACAAAATTTGGAGTGTCATTCATCTTCTTTTGCTCCTTCACAATGGGCATTCTTTTCAGGACTATCTTTTCTGCTCCTCTCAGCACTCCTCCTCTGCAGGAGACAAACAGCACAACAAAAAAACCTTCTGCCTCCCGCTACCCCTCTCATCTCATCCTTTTCTCCCTCTCATCCTGGCATTTTGTCATAAGCTGCAGTCGGAATCAAATCCTCCGATCTGCATCAGAAAGGAGGACAGACAGTAGATGATCTGTGTAACAGAACCATTTTGGATACAACAGGTGCTCAGCAGTCACACTCAAAGCTTTCTTTGTCCCTTGCTGAAGACATGTTTACCATCCAGAAAAGTTTGGTACTCTTAACTAGATAAAAAAAAAAATTCTGTTTTATATGTAAGCGGTACTTTTCTATACAAAACTCACCAAATTCATAATCGGGTGTTGTGATTGGTCGCCAAGGTGTTGCTATGCAGTTGCTGAGGTGTTCTGAATTGTTCATAACATGTTTCTTTGCATTTGCATAATGTTATTGGTGATTACTTACTCGCCCAGGTCAAAATCCATTCATGTGGTGCCGAGTAAGTTAAATGCTTAAGTCATATTTGAGTATGTAGTTTATTGAAATGCTTAAGTCGTATTTGAGTATGTAGTTTATTCAAATCTCTAACACTGAGTCTGAGCAATAAAAATAGTGCTGCTTGTCTTAGAAAGCAGTCGAGGCCATTTCTGTGGGCTTTTTCAACAAGCAGTGTGAAACCGAATCTATCATTCAAAGTTTCTCTGATGTGATAAATGAAATCTGTCAGGACTTTATCCATTGGGAGATTTCATCCAGGACCCTTATACTACCAATTTTGAACTTTAGCTCGTAATGATATTGTGCTATTTCAGTGAAAAATGGTTAAAGAATACTTGCACATTGTTCAGTCAATGAAGTGATTATTTATGAGTTCTTCGGGGTGAGAAATGTTATGCACTTCAATACAAAGTTGTTCATTGAGCAAATCATGAATTATTGAACATTCAATTTTCCAGCCAGCTATATAAAGCAGTACAACATCTGAAGAACAGTATAGCAACTTGTTGTAAAATATGGTCATGTACCACGTTTCACTGATTTTTTTTCTTCAGATTTTTAGTTTGAAGGGAGAGACAGGGAGTCTCTTGATAATGTGACTTTGGGCATTCAGAAAGCACCTGTAGAGACGTGGCTCTTCGTGACACCGTCCTCTGTAGACAATAACCTGCTGCAATATGACCTTCAGGCTCCTGAACACAATCTGTGGTTAGCTGTGTTCCAGAACCTAGTGAGTTGCCTTGCTGACTACACAAGTGGTAGTTCAGTGAGTTTACTGTACATAATCTTACATAATACATTTTATACTGTCAAATGGGCATATATTTATTTATTCACTTTTTAATGCCATGTCAGCATCAAGGCTATTTTCATGGCGATCTCTGAATAAATTATACAAGGTATACAGTTAACAAAAGGTTATAAAAGACATTTCAGATGTACACTACAAATGGTCATCTAAAACTAAATTATGATACAAATGCACAAGTGGTAAGCAGTAACTTTTTTTTAACTGGGCATGCAGAGTGCTAAGATATTTTTACACTTATGTGTGTTTTTAACATAAACTTGACAGTTTATGTGCAATACGACATGAAAGAGAACATAGTTTAGTACTCACATGGCAGGATGTGACAGCCTCTTTCTGTGCGCGTGCTTCAGATGTGTGCACTCAGAAAACCGTATATCAGAAGTGTAAATGGATATGGCATGATAGACATGATAATCAAAACCAAAGAGATGTTTTGTTTTTTTTAGCATGGTATCTTCCCTATTCTGGAAAAGGGGGTGGGAAGCAGCAGCTCACTTGCATTTAAAGAGACATGCACAAAACCAGCCTGTTTCTGCTTCCACTCAAAATAGGCATTTTCAAAATGATATAATACATAATCTGTGGGGTATTGTGTGAAAGTTCACAGACATATTCTGGGGACACCTGAGACTTATATTAGACGTATATCCTTTAATATGAAACAACTAGAATGCATAGAGAAAAGCAAAAATCCTCTCATATGTGTTTGGCCTGATGCCTCCTGACTCTTTGACTTTATCAGCAACTCTTGCATGTCTGGCTCCTCTCATCCTCCATTCCCTCCTTTATCAGTCAATTCACCTCAGAGGTGGTCAGACTCACCGGCAAACACTCGATCTAACTATACACCACTGCTGCTTCTCCTGCCTGACAGTGATAGAGCCCCAGGACGATCTGTGAGCGACGGCTGGAGGAGGAGCTGAAAAATGGAAAAACAGTGAATATTTAGAGAGCTGGTCAACAAGAGAAGGAAAGCAAACAGTAAACTAGATTTGTGACATTATCTGAGGAAAATGTAGTTACTAGAGTATTTGTTGCTAATGTGTTCTGAGTTTATTTTAGTGTGTTGCTATGTAGTTGCTAGGATGTTCTGTATCATATTTCTCTGGAACCTTCTGGTCACTAGATATGGTGTGCGTTCCTCCATTTTTTTTTTTTAACAGATTTTAATAGTAATGCTTGCCTTAGCAAGCACTCATAACTAAAACAGAAAGATATATAGAGAGAGACAGGGAGAGCAGGAAAGAAGCGCTAATTGCATTTTCCTCTCACTCTGAATGTCTGATAGAATTAAATGAAGCTGGGCAGCTGTCACCTGTTGGCTGATTTATGGATGGATATTGCAAACGTGGTTTGATGCTTGTCATTCAATTTACATCTGACAGAGTACTGCCTCTGTAAAAACAATTCTACACACTTAAACTCATTCTATGCCCATTGCTTCTCAAATCCGAATGCCAGCCCCCTCAAAGCTGCATTTTCATGCCTTATTAAACACACTGTGCTAACGAGAGGAATAACTCATCAAGAGGATTTGGAATGGCAGAAAGGAAGAGGAAAAAAAGAACTGGAATGACTCATGATTCAGTCTGATGTGTGAAGTCGCAAGTGAAAGATATAATGGCTGTGAGGTGATTTTGTATGGGAAAAATCACAATGGGCATGTCTCAACAGTTTCTCCCTGACATTAATAAGACTGAAGTGAGCCAATAGAGACATTTGTTTAACTCTTTCCCTGCCAGCACAAAAAAAAGTCGCCAGCCACCACTAGCATTTTGATCATTTTCACAAAAATTTCATGGCCCTTCGAATATGTTGTATGAATATCTGACCATGCATTATGTTAAAAGAAAGAGCAGAGCCTCTGCTTTTAAACATACAAACAGTTGTATTCTAGCTTCATGCATTCTTTTTTATTAACACTTGTATTTGGGTAAGTTTAATTAAAAAGCAACATTTTGAACAAAAGCTGAGAATTTTTTTTTTTCAAAGACTACGTCCAATCGGTCAGTGGTGGGGAAAGAGTTAAGTTACAATATGTTGTAATTGTTTTTGGAAAATAATCACACATACACATGCATCCATCCATCCATATTTTGTCTGAATTTTTGACAGTGTCCTACAAGCACAAACCCACAAGATGTCTTATTTATTTTTTGCTCTCTTACATGACCAATCAAAGAAGACAGGAAATTACCCTTCACCTAAAGCCACTTCTGTTTTTGTAAACAACACTATCTGTCCTGTGTTGCTCGTGATGGAGTGCTCTCTAATACATGTGTGTCTTTGTGTGTAGCTGTCTGTCAGCCAGTGAGTGTTACACACGTGTGTGTTTGTGTTTGTGGGGCTTCTGGATTGAAGCTCCTATCTCTGGTGTGCAGCTGTGAAGCAGGTCGTTGGGACACATCTCTAGCCTGTAAATATAGAACACACACACGTACACACAAGCACTGCCAAACCAGATTAACACCCAAATAAATCACCTTCAGAGATGCTCTGCTGAACATAAAGTAGAAGATCAGGCTAAAAAAACCCTCTCTGTACTGTCCTCGCCATCTTGGTTCTCTCCTCTTAGTTAGTAGTGCCTTTTGATAAGTTAAGTTTGGTTACTCTGGGATGTTTCACTTTTGACAGATATCTGTTAGATGTTTGAGTTTTTGCAATCTCTTTAAAGAAACAAAAATTGAAGTGCTGTTTTCAGCAGTCACCAGATTTGTGGCAAAAATGTGGCAAATACTAAAAAAAAAACGAACTAAACAAAAAGAGATAATATTTTGGTCATTCCTATTACTATGTTTTAATATCCCTACGATATATTTATATGGGATAAAATAGGCTTATATATTTAAATGTAATGGAAATACCTTTAGACTTTAAAAGACCTTTAATGACATGACCCTCCAGGAAGTGACATCATTTTGAAGGGAAATCAACAGCATAAACATGAGTAAGTATTAGCGATGCATTTTTTAATTCTCATTCCCTCAGCGAGCAGTAGTTCATTTAATAACTTGAGCTCTTTATTTATTCAAGTATAATGTAAGCTCAGTTGAAATCAAGTTACAATTAATAAACTTTAAAGGCTATAAGAACATCCCAGAAGTCTAAAAAAAGTGGTTGTATTCATGTGTAGTCATGTGTGTGCTTTTGTGCTGTTAAGCAGCGCGTTTGGCAAATGCGTTACTTATTTGCCCCGCTCATGGCATGCTTCACGTTTTCCCGTTCATTGTTTTCCTTCACAAATCCGGCATGAATTTAAAGCCTGTGTAAATGCTGCATCTTGTGTTTGTGAGTTAAGAAATGTTTCTGAGGAATTTTCAGCACCAGTCTCTGATGTAATTACATTTTCTGCTTTTGTAATAGTAAGACTTTGCATGACAGTTCAACATTCTTGGCTAACATCTGTGCTGTACATGGCTGATTAGCATACTATAACAAGAAAACATCAACAGTGCCTTTAACCATGCATTTGATCTTTTATGGGAACCAGAAATTGACAGAACCTGTATTTTAAACCTATACATGTAAGAATATAAGTTATATACTGTATAATGGTTTGCTTTGACGGTTAGATTTTGAAACTACATTACGTGAACAAAAGCATCGATAATTGTCAGGGTTTTGTCACAAATCGATCTTATAGTCAATATTTTACCAGTTGTTTTGGAGGACCTACCAGAGTTTAATACAGGTTTTTCTAATGCTGATTTGCTAATGCAAAGTATTGGCAATTCACATCAAACTTCTAGAATTCAGTAGCGTGCTCATGCTACTTATTTTTCACTGTAATGGAGACCTAGAATATTACAGTTTAATTCAGGGTCACATCATTTTCAGACTCAAACTTCATATGTCTAATTCAACTAATTACTGCACCAAAATTACATTTCAACCATGCACAACTGATCACTTGGCTCTCTCTGAGTAAAGAATTAGAATTTTCAACTCATTTTTACGGTCGAGAGGTTAGTTAGTGAATGCACTGCGTCCAACTGATAAATTATGCTTTCCTAAATTAGATGTTCTAAAAATTGCTTTAGGAAAATATGCTCTTATTTCATACCCGAGCACAGATGGTGTCAACCAGAATGAGAACTGGAAAATAAAACAGCTCACAATGGAATTAAATATGCTACACAGAGTGCCGGTGTTTAGTAGCTATAATCACACTTTACGCTTCATTACAAAATCCTGCACTTCTTTTATTGCATTTCCTCTTGCTGAATATTTGAAATAATTATAATTATTGTTAGATATCATGTATAGAAAAAGACGTAGATATTTGCTTTTTTTCTTTATTATTGCTCAACGTTACTTTACATGACATCTATACATACATACATAGAGTACTATAGTACAATAAGAACTATATTGTATTTACCATGCTCATGTATAAATATGCATAGTGTTACCATGGTGCCATGTCCAAAAAACATGATATTTTTGGAGGCAGCAAAATATATCCTCCCTTTCAGCAGATTGAGTGTGCTTCTCAATACAGTACTTTATTTTCAGATAAATTGGTTTTCTTGAGGCTTCTGATCATTTGGAGGCAATAAGACGCTTTGCTCAGGTGAGGCTGTAGTAGGGGGAAAAAATCTAAATAAAGTGAGAAATTTAGCATGGATTTGATACTACTGCACAAATTCCTTTTTGTTTGTAAAACAAATGCTGATATCACAGTATTAAAAAGGCATTGAGGTTTAACACAATTTGTGGTTTAAAAATGAAATAAAGCCCAAGCCGACACGGCTCTATTGCAGAGAGAGGAAATTGTGCTCTCCTATCCCCTCGCAGTTCATTTGCAGTCATTCTCCACAAAATCAATTTTCAATTTCCTCCATGGGAAAGCACCTTGCTGCACGTGGCAACAGCCATGCTATTTGCGCTTCATTAGCCTAGCCCTACATTAGTGTGCTTTTTTTTCTGTTAAGATTGTGTACTTTAAGAGCAATTCTGAAATTTTTCACAGCTAACGTTGCATTACTTAAGTTAATGTCCACTGGGTGATGTTTCGCATGGGTTCTGAATTTCACTTAGTGCCAAGGCAATGTTAGCTAATGTTTTAGCCTAGAGTGCAATATACAAGCATTTACCTCTATGTGTTCTGTGTCTAGGTGTGTTTATTGAAGGTGAGTATCAATGGCTGTGACATGAATTGTTCTAATCTAATGTGCATTTTTGCAAATGAACATGGTAAGTAAGTAGTGACTTAGGAGATGCTTTTATTGAAGTGACTTGCAGTATAATTATTAATTATTATATAATGAGTTGCAGCAACTCAATAAAAGAAATGGCTGAAAGTATGCATCCCTTTGAGAAAACTATCCATTAGCATTGCTATTCATCTCAATGGCTCATATTTGATGAATGTCATGTAGCTGATCACAATACAGTATGTGAAAACTCTTTGCAGCAGACTACGAAATAGCTGAATGTTTGCATATTTATTTATTTAATTAATTTCCATTTATTGCAAAGAATGCATTTAGTCCAAATGCACAGCCTTTTTATTGGCTGTCAATGAAGAATCATATATTTTGCAATCATAATGGTGTAGTTAAGATATTTACCGGCTGGACCTGCCAAACCTTGACCTCCTGCTTGGACTGTTTTTATTCAGAAAAAAAGTAATAACTAGCCTAATCCTCAATGGAAAAGGTGTTTCAATTCACACGCAACATTTTAAAAAAAATATTTAACATTGAATTGCAATTATGGAGAAACAGTGAATTCCTCAGATCTCTTTGTCCCTTTGACACTCTGTCAAGTCTGCTGTTCATAATTGCTCTGAAATAGATGGGAAAAGGCTCTGGAAGACATTTGGTTTTCAGGAGGTAATTGAGAGTCTTTCTCTGTTCTAAGACGCTGAATTGGCAAGAACAAAACTGCACAGATGAGCCCTGATAGTCTATTCAAGTGGGAACATGAAATGGCTTAAAAAAGGTTATATTTCTGGTAAAGACAAGGCTACTGGTAGAAAGTAGAGTCATGTAAGCAATGTATTTAGAAGTCAGGCTGATTTGATTCAAATTAATTACATGATATGCTGATTAATTAGTCAAATCACAATTGCGTATGCAAATATTTGCAGAGAAAACAATTAATTTAACAAGATTACATTATTGTGGCATATTCATTAAAAATATATTACAAAAAGCTTTAAAAGTCAATTTATTGTTTTATTTTCCGTATCTGTTGGCTTTTTTTTCAGAGGTTGCCATTTTGTCCATGTTTTGTACATCTTGACGTGCATTTCCCCTCAATATTTTGGATTTTGTGACCTGAACTGACATGTAGTGATTATTAACTCTGGCAACAACAGCAGTAAATAATAATAGTAAAGAATAAAAAAAAAAAAAACGTAGACAGAAAATGTCAAATACAAAGTTTCCCCTCCTGCATTTACTTTTGCATGATTCTGTATGCTGGGATCCCTTGTTTTATTATTTTTATAGAGATAAATCAGCCTCTTTGTGCAGAAACTCTTGGTCGCAGTTCCTGACTCATTTAGGTGCCGTTGGTACCAGTTTGCTGTAGGAGCAGCTTGTGGCAAAAAAGAGAGACAGAAGACAACAAAAGAGAAGTTCTTAATCCAGGGAAAGCCTGTTGTCTTGCTTTGGAGTGGAACAGAGTAAGACATTTTTGGCACATTCTGGGAAGACGCTGCTACATTCTCAAAACCTGACTAAAATAAGACTGCTGAGGTAGTGAAAGAGATGTTTTGAGTTTAACATAAGTGAAGCTCTATCAACATTCGTAGCAGGATTTTGATAATCATGGACACTCATTTTGAATGAATTTTCTGGTGCATTTTATTTAAAATTGTGGTTGCAATAATGCACTTGGAAGTAAAAATGTGTGCATAAGAGTATAGAGGCAAAAATATGTTTGTTTTTTTCTTGGTAAACAAGTAACTTGCTTCAAAACTGTTTTGATTTAGCTTTTTTGTTTGATTCCTAGCAATGGTCTCTTTCTGGTCTCTTTGCACGTATCATGCAACTTCTATGACATTGAAGTTGAAAGACTGGATGCAACTTTACCCAGACAAGGTCAGTAAGTGATTCTATCAAACTAGTCTGATGCTAACATTTAAAATCATTCCGTTTTTAAAGAGTGTGTTTTTGATGTTTGTCGTCTGACCCTGATTTCCATTCTAAATGCCTTTTTGTAGACACTTGAAAGTATACACACACTGTATATAATCTTCAGATATCAGGTGTGTGAATTTAATTCTAATTTCCTTTAGATGAAGAAGAAAAAGAAGAAGAAGAAAAAACTTGACTAATTGTTTAAAAATCCAGAACAAACAGAATTCATTCAGACACTACAGAAATAAAAGGGTCAAACTTTTTTAAAAGGAAGGTTCTGGCTTCAGTTGCATTTAATTACATTATTTATGCTCTTTTCTAGGTCCTTCCTCTTTATCCAAAGCACATTATTTTCAAATTCACCCAGCCGATATCTGAAGAGCACAGTAAAGTAAAGTGCCTTTGTTAGAGCCTCAAAAGAACATGTGTAATAATTCAATTTGATAGATTTGTGGTTCGCTGGTACAATTAAACCCAGGTGATGTGTGTGACTAAAGATCCCAGCCTTTGTGAGCTTTTCAGGAGGATCAGAGAAGGCACAGGTTGATCTTGGACCTGTCAGCAGAGTTACGCCATCAGCACTTCTCATTTATCTTTAATGGGCTCTCGCTGACACAGGTCCTGTCAGATCTGACTTCTCAGCTCAGTATTATCTCAGCCACACTGTTTCGAAGAGAAGCAGGACGTGGTGTGTTTGATCAGGCCTGTCAGCCTGTCGGTACACAAGCGATGCAGGGCTCAACCAGGAGCGAGTTCAGAGGATGTGAGAGGAGTCAGACCTTCACCAGCCTGACCAAGCAGAAATTCAGAAAAAACTCTATACAGTAGTGGGAATCCCTATTTTTTACCTGGTTTACCTGTCATACCTGTATTTTTACAGCATATGATTATTTATGTGCCTTCTAGCAGTTTTTGACATAATATATTTAGTAAATAAACACTGCATTAAAGATGCACTCGAGGTGAGGAATATTCTATAGTGAAATATTAGTCATTTAGATTTAGATTTTTTGGAATGTATATCTATCTATCTATCTATCTATCTATCTATCTATCTTTAGATTTAGATTTTTTGGAATGTATATCTATCTATCTATCTATCTATCTATCTATCTATCTATCTATCTATCTATCTATCTATCTATCTATTTTAATCAACAAAAATAACATTTCAATTGATGAAAAATGTATTGAGTGCAAAATTAAAACCAAGCATTTGGACAATTTTTATATTAGTTTAAAATATTTGAATATTTTAGCTTACAACTGCAAACTGGCCTATCTTCACCAGCCAAGTTTTGACCACTCAATGGGTCAAGGGTTGACTAGTGGCTATGGGCCAGTTATTCCCTGCTGGTTGTCATTTTATTATAATTTTTAATGCTTTCATATCTGTTACGATATGTATCATGCGTCTCCAAATTATTTCAACCTTACGGTGTCACATAAACCTGTAATCACACACCCATCTCTGTTTGAAATCCATCAGCGAACAAAAGCAAATGGTTAAACCATTTCACTTCACACAATGGAACATAAACCTCACAAATACTCCCTATCCAAATCGATCCCTAGGAGCCGGCGAGTTGAATAGTTTTCATGTTTCAAAATGCATTGTACAGCGTTTCCCAACACCTCAATAACTGTGCAATCTTGCAAACTGCATCCAAAACGATTCTCTGCGGATGGCGTTTCTTCTAGTAAATCTATTCAATCAGCGAAGCCTTTAGCTGTCTTTATAGAATACTAATGAAACTCAACTTGTTAACATATAAATAAGAAACAAAATGGTGACAAATCATAGGTGTTTGTCTATACATCAGTGCACCACTGGAACATCACACTGCGTGTTTCCTTGCTGCATAATCACCTCCTTCTTCAGCTCTTACTGCTGAGACAGTGGTTAGTGCTTCTGCCAGCTAATAAATATTTTGTTATAAAGCAAAAAGTTCAGGAACTTGGTAAAATAATCATTGGCATGCTGCAAAAAAAGTGAGTGATGCCTGTCTCATGAAAATACATGAACCCACCACGTCTCTTCTCCCAAGGATAAACTTGTCTTGTAGTGCCTTGGAGAACTGAAGTAGATTAGAAAAGTGCTATATAAATGTAACAAATTATTCTTATTCTTATTAATTGATGGTTTTCGAGCTGCCGTAGCTGCATAAATCCTGTCTGACATTCATAATTGATTATTTAAAACCTAGCAGTTACAATGACAGCCTGTATAACGCCGTTCTAAAATTCTGCGTTCTTTCCTCAAAGCTGTTGAAATGAAGTAGATGTTAACAATATTTCAAACTCCACCTTCCCAGGCTAGTCATACTTTAAAGAACTTAAACTACAGTCATTTCTAAAAGTGTAGTTAGATGGACTACAAGCTACTCAAGAAACTTTGCTGGCTACATTGAAGCTAGGGAGATGAATCTAACCTTTTTTTCTTCTGTGAAACAAAAGATGAGATATTTTGATATTAAGTCTTTGTGTGAGGAACAGACTGAACTCTTCATTTTTCATCAATAATCGTCGCCTCAGTGAGCTGTTAACTCAAAATCTATGACTGGAATGAGTCACTCTGATTCAGATGACTCTAAAAGGATCATTCTGCCCATTTTGGGAACAGCATCAACTGGTTCATTTAAAAGAAGCAGAAACGAATTATTCATTCACTGGTCCTGTTTCAACTATAACTCGGCTTCAGATGAGCTATATAGCACACAAGTCATAAGAACTGTTTATGGGGTTTAAAAGCCTTTCTTTTGTCATTTTCATTTTTTTCTCTCATTTTGTGTTGAACAGGAAAAATAAAGTGATGCAGGTTTGGAATGAAATGAGGGTGAGTGAATGATTTGTATTTTTAGATGAACTAATATAACTATTCATTTAACTAAATATGTAAAATGCATTGCCTTAAATAATCTTGTTTATGAACCACTTGATTTAAATGAACCGTCTGATTCAATAAATATAAGAATATGACAGTTTAGGAGAGTGTGTTATATGGTAAATTAATACTTTTATTCAAGAAGGATACATTCAGTTGATCAAAAGTGGCATATATATAATGCATTTATGTTTATAAATACATTTATAATGTTACAACACATTTCTGTTTCAAATAAGTGCTGATCTTTTGAGCTATCTATTCGTAAAAGTATCAGTTTCCACAAAAAATATTAAGCAGCACAACAATATTGATGATAATAAGAAATGTTTCTTGAGCAGCGATTAGAATGATTTCTGAAGGATCATGTGACACTGAAGACTGGAGTAATGATGCTGAAAATTTAGCTTTGCATCATAGGAATAAATCATATTTTCATATTTTTCATATATTCAAATAGAAAACAGTTATTTTATGTTAAATAACAAATAAATTCAGCCTTGGTGAGCATAAGAGACATCTTTCAAAAACATAAAAAAATGTACCGACCCCAAACTTTTACCTGCTTGTGTACTTTAGTTATTAATGTAACTATGTTTAGTAAGCAGCTTTGCAGCCCTGACAGCCAAGCACACTCGTCAGCTGATTTTGCTCTTGTTTTTGTCCTCTACCCCTCTGGTTATGCAGTCGATCTTCGCTGCTGTTCTGGCAGTTCCCTTCATATTTATAACTTTCACAATTTCACCCCTCCACACGGAAACCAATAACAAATTCAGAGGGAGAAGCCCATGATTCAATTCCCTTTAATACTTTCTTATTACCCATAGCGCTGGGGTGTCAGTGCTTAGAGACGGGGCACCGCTCATTCCCTGACCTGGTTTGATGAAGTCACAAAGGACAGAGGGTGGCGGCAACCTCGCTTACTCAACGACACTGTGATGAAACCCGGCCTCCAAAAGCATCAGCGACTGGCAGATTTAAATGACATCAGAGCAGCTCCGGCAGTGCAGAAAGCTCGACGGACGCGCTGCTCATTTTTCAAGGGCAGTGATGTGTGATGAGGAGAAGAGGTGTGAGGAATTGCAGTGCTAAGAACACAGGAGGGGAGGATGTAGAGTCTCCATCCTCAGGAGAACAGACCCTCACCTCAGGTTCATGTGCTGCCAGTGTTTGTCATATTGAACTATATAAAGTTCAGACTCATAAAGAAGACTGCTTACTAAAGCACCAAATTGGTTTTGGCGAGGAAATAAGGGTACTAGCTATTTAAAAAAGAACAGCTTAAAGGCACAATATGTAGTTTTCGCCGCTAGAGGGCGCGCATTCAAAATAAACAAAGAGACAAAGGCGTAGTTTGATGACGCTGTGACTGAGTGTGGAATCATGGGAGTTGTGGTCTTCATCCCCACAGCCGAAGCAATCCGATGGGACTCGGGCAGAAATCATGTTCATGGATGAGCTAATGATTTATTAACGTAGTAGAATGAAGCAGGGTGAGGCTGAAAGCCGTCGAAGTGAAACGAGGCCGCTGAACGAGTGTGACACACGGCTCGAAAGCAGCGGAGCTTTTATTATGCCACAGTCGACCGCTTCCACTCCTTCCGGTCGTGCGTATGTGGGGTAAAGCAGCGCTGTTTTATCATACTAGATACATTTTAAAGTTCTGTTACAATGCTACTCTGTGCGGTCGTCACCTGTCTAATAAAACGCACAACATATTAAAGCGTCTTTGGTGTTTCCATGTTCCAAAAATCTTACATATTGTGCCTTTAAGGAAATACAAATTAATATGCGCCTTAAATGACTCTTTTAAATGCTGTGTTCTATTCAAAGTTGTATTACAGCATACAGTTTTCTGTTCAGTGCTCAAAAATGATGCATAAAGAAACAGTGTTAGGTCATTTGCTAGTGATTAAGGTGAAATAAAATATAAATATTAAATGAAAAAAAAAGTTTTCTTGGTAACTAATAAGTTAAAGTTAAGTACTAAATGACTAAAACTAAAACTGAAGAAAAATTTTTAAATGAAAGCTAAATGAAAAACTTAAAAGCATAAAAAATAAATGTTGTCTTGGCAACTAACTGAAATAAGTTAAAGTACTAAATTAGGGTTTATGTATTAAAATGACTAAATAAATTAAATCTCAAAAGAAATATTTAAAAAACAAAACAAAACAAAAAATGACAAAAATACATAGCATTATTAAAATGTAAATTATGAAATTTAAATGTTATAAATTGATTTGTTCATAATTAATAGATGTAATTTAGAAAATTAAAACTTAAAAGCTAATTCAAAATATTAATAAATACCATAATAGCATATAAATAATATATTATATCTTTTTTTATCTATGGCACGAGGGAATCAAATCAAAATCATAATATCTATAAATAAAAATCTCAGTGAATGTCACATATTTTCAATTTTTTTTTTCTCACTGGAAAATTTGGCATAGCAAAACGTTGTTAATGCTTTTTTATTCTTCAACAAATCATGTCTTTTCACAAAGATGAGATGTTTGCAAATATACAAAAGAAAAACAGCTAAATAATTCATTTGCCATATAGATGATTGTATATGTCATGGGTAATGTACAGTCATCTGGCCATTATCGCAAAATAAACTGCATCAGGGTGATCTTGCTGAATGCATCCCACTATTACATGGCTACTTAGCAACTAAACAAACAAACGCTCATTAATTATTAAAACCAAAGTAAAATTACCTCAATATGTAAGAAGAAAGAGACTGTAGAGTCATACAAGAGACATGCTATGGAGGAAACCATTCAAATATGCAGTTTAACAAAATATATATTTAATAAAACAATGCAAAATTCAGTTTCATCCCCTTTTTAGGTCGCCGCAAAATGATGTGTGTGTGAAGAGCTGTAATTGGATCTTCTTCGAGAACTTTATGACGCTAGCATTCAAACTAGTCACTTTGCAACCATCAACCCTTTCAACACAAACATTTCATCATCGGTTTTTTGGAGCGCCACAAAACAAGCCGCGTGTATTTACACAATTAAATTAGCACGTCCGTCTTCGAGAGGCAATTACTTTGGGAATGGTTACGTCTGGCAAAGTTGTTGCCTAATCATAGAAGATGCATCACGCCTCGCATCAGACGCTGACCTTCACAGTCGGCTTGCACGACTTAAAATTAATCAAAAGATTGTGTTCAAAGAAAATTGCTATCTTGTGGCACATGCAATTATCGTGTTGCATAACCATTATCATAGTGACCTTATACAACGTGGTAAAAATGCTGCTCTTGTCGGCTTTTATTGGAGGTGTGAAAAGCTCGCCGCAGCCACCGTGTAATTGTGTGTATGCTTATACAGTGTGGCCCTTACACAATGGACAAAAGACTGTATATTGGGAAAGCACGAACCTTTGCAATTTTGCAAAATTACATTGTGCTTTTTGCTGTCTAACCCCTGTGATTGGCCCTGTTGGAGGAATAGCAAATAATGACAGAAATGTACTGAGAAATGATACTATTAGAGAGAATCTGGGCCGTGCTGTTTAGAGTTATCCGTGCGGTCTGAGGAAGAGGGATTGGAGCTTGGCTTTGAATTGCCTGGACATGTGCGATTGGCAATCAGACCTGGTCCAGCTGTCTCTTTTGTTGTAATGTCAGTAATGTGGGTTCAAGCCGAGGTGGTGTTGCCCAGAGGCTTCAGTAATATGATGATGATGATGATGATCAACTTTATTCTGCAGTGAGCTGGATACAAGAACATCGGCCTTGCCACAGTGTTTGTCTGAATTTAGAGCATCCCTACATTGTCTATTCCGATGATCTTATCCAGTATTATCCAGTGCTGGGAGAGCAAAACTTTGGGGTCGGTAAGATTTTCTGTTGTTTTTGAAAGAAGTCGCTTATGCTCACTGAGGCTGCATTTATTGTATCAAAATTACAGTAAAAACTGTAATATTGTGAAATATTTTTACAATTTAAAATAACTGTTTTCTAATCGAATATATCTTAAAAGCTCATTTATTCTGTGATGGTAAAGCTGAATTTTCAGCATCAGTACTCCAGTCTTCAGTGTCACATGATGCTTCAGAAATCATTCTAATATTCTGATTTGCTGCTCAGGAAATATTTCTTATTATTAGTGTTGCAACGGATGTGCTGCTTAATATTTTTGTGGAAAACATGATTTTTTTTTCAGGATTCTTTGAACAGCACTTATTTGAAGTAGAAAAATTCAGCAACATTGTAAACGTCTTTTCTGTTTTTGATTATTTTTGATCTTTTTACTTTTGATCAATTAACTACATCCTAATTGAATATTAGTATTTATTTCTTTAAAAAAAATGACTGACCCTATACTTTTGAATGGTTGCGCATAATGGTGTAATTAAAAAATATGTATTTTGGAATTTTGGCTAGTTCATGACTAAAACCAGTTCCAGTTTGAACATACTCAAAGAACTTTTACTTACTTTTACTTTTTTTAGTTTTTTTTGCTTCAAATAAAAATCCAACACTCTGTGCTTTTATTTAGTTTCTTAAAGGTCCCCTGAAACGCTTAGAAACACGCAGCGTTACTCTGTGTTGACGTCATTTTAACTGAAACAGGAAGACAGGGCGGGACATATCAAGCAGCCC